CTTGTTATAATGAGTAATCATTCTTTGCTTCATAAGGCCATGGTCTACCATGACCATGACTGAGTCGAAGCCCCCAGAGGGCAGACAGTCAGTGATGAGACACAGATTTTAACTCTGGCGACAACTTGACCAAGACCAATGAAGATCAATGTCTGAGATACCGTCTATGAGCCAACATTCAAGGCATGTTCTCATAGAAAAAATGTGACATTTGACAGGTTTTAAACCTGTCGCATTCCAATAGAAACAGATTTTGATTCTGTTGCGACAACCACTTGGCTAAAGCCAACTTTGATCAGCTTGCAAGCAAACCAACCATGAGCAAATTTCAAGGTGCATTTTTATAGAAAACAAATGTTGCAACTGGCAGGTTTCAAACCTGCACATTCCAAGAGAAACAGATTTTAACTCTGGGGATCACTTGATCAATTTCATCTTTGGCGGGTTTTGAACCCACGCAGACAGATTTAGATTCTGTCATATTAACTGCTTGGCTAAGAACAGTTAGATGCACCTCCAATGGACCCATTCACAAGTGAATCATCAAGGCATATTTATCTGCATTTTGTCAGTTCTTTCAATAATATGGTCGCTGCGATTGATTCTTTTATTCTACTCTTATCGCAAAAGACATCAGACTTCTCCTGGGCCTCTACTTCAAGACCTGTTTATCCAGCAATTGCTCAAAAAAAGTGCTGATGGCAGATCACCACGGTGGGCCAATGATGTTCATGATGTCTTGGGATTAGCAACCGGGTCATGAGTGACAACTGACAATGGAAGGATCACATATGGTTGAGCTCAAGGGTGATGTTAGAAATTAATGTTAGAACTGACAAAATGTACCTTGAGGATTCACTTCTGAATGGATTCAATGGGAGTGCATCTAACTGGTCTTAGCCAAGCAGTTAATATGACAGAATCCAAATCTGTCTGTGACAGGTTCAAAACCTGTCAAAGATGAAATTGCAAGTGATCATCAGAGTCAAAATCTGTTTCTCTTGGACTGCGCAGGTTTGAAACCTGCCAATGATAACATTTTTGATTTTATGAAATCACATCCTGTCCCATACCAAGCACTGCATTTCTGTGCGCGCCCTACATTACACGTCCATCTGTTGTCCAATCCAACACTGCTGGTATAATATTTTCATCATTTTATTTTTATGTCATGCTGAAGGATACTCCCAGCTACAGACAACAATGTATAGATGCAACAGAAGAAGCATTCTCGCTACATTCTGCTGCAAAACTAGTACAAAGCAGTCGCACCTGGGTTGCATTGAAAAAGATAAAACTGACACGAATGACATCACTTTGATGAATACTCCAAAATGTCTAACTGTCCCTATTTGCTTGCACTTGGGACTTGGGACTTGGGACTCTGAGAATCTATACACTGCAAAATATTTTGCAAGCAGGTTTTGAACCTGCATGGTTTGAAAGAAACAGATTTTGACTCTGTTGCAACATCTACTTGGCTAAGACCAGTGATATGAAGCTCTCAGGAAAGTACACATGGGTCGATGTCAAGGTGCGATTTCATGGAATAAAAATGTTATCATTGGCAGGTTTTAAACCCGCACATTCCAAGAGAAACTGATGTTGACTCTGGTGATCACTCTTTGGTAGGTTTTGAACCCACGCAGACAGATTTAGATTCTGTCGTATCGACTGCTTGGCTAAGACCGGTGAGATGCACTTCCAATGAACTCATTCAGAAGTGAATCCTCAAGGCACGTTCATCTGCATTTTGTCAGTTCTTTCAATAGCATGGTCACTGTTGATTCTTTTATCCTTGACGCAAAGTTCAATATATGACCAAAGTCTTGATGCAAACTCGGAATGATGAGTACAAGAGCAATTTAATTCTCTCCAAAGGTCCTGACTTTGTTGAAGAAGAAGAGCAGATTACACATCAAACTTTCAAGTTTGATCCTAATGACCTGGGGAATGAGGAAGAATACACATCTGTCAAGGCTGAGATTCAAGGCAAAGATTCAAAAGAGCCATCTGGCCACTATTCGCTTATGTATAAGGTTGAGGTGCACTGTATTTGAGACCTGCTCTTCTCTCGCTTTTTGAAAGTGTTGTATTGTGGTCTGTTTTCAATTCATCTGTTCAGCTGAGGGAAAACATTGCGAGTGACTGAACCAGATGCTTAGTCAAGCCTGGTTAGGTGCACTATGATGTACAGAGCGCGGTTAAGCGGAAGTGCTACTATGCATTGGTGTGCGCTAAGCAGATGTGAGGCGCGCATGCAGGTGGTTGGAGCACAGCGACTCTAGATGAGTTGAAGGGGGACCTAATAGGGGCTAAAAAGTGCATACCACAAGGGACTACTTTGAAGGTAAACCTATAGGGAGAGGTATACAGTACGAGGGAAGTGATGTAGTAGTATAGTCAACTTATACTGTCTAGTGCGCAGGAAAGTGCGGGTTCAGGTTTGCACAGGAGTTAATTGTTGGACAAATGATGAACAAGGATAGGGAAACTGATAGTGCTCTATACTCCTTGATGCATATATAAAAATAGGCTCATTCCTGCCCAGCGCGGTTCTGAGCGTCACAGCAAGATGATGGTGGTTAATTTGTCAAGAGAGAAAAACATACATGAACTATGTAAGTAATGTCAAGCGCTAAAGCAAACTGAGAAGCGAAGCGAGTGCGTGATAATATGTAATATAAGGGTCCATGACATAGCATTATGGAATGTGTGCGCATAGTGCCAGCAATACTGTCAGAATTCACAGAAATACAATAGAAATATGCACCAACGAACCGAATGGACATGGAATGGATGGACAAAGGACGAGCATGACTCTGTTATGACAGTCACATGGCTAAACACAACTTTGATCAGCTTGCAAGCAAAGCGACCATGAGCAAATTTCAAGGTGTGTTTTCATAGGAAAAAAATGAATTTTATTATTGGCAGGTTTCAAACCTGCACAGTCCAAGAGAAACAGATTTTGACTCTGGCTGTTAAGACCGTGCACAAAGGGTAGGACTGATTCCAAGGGGCTTGGCTTCAGCTCGTGCGCTGCGCCCCTTACCCGAGTATGTGCCCTTAACTTCAGAATGAAGTCCGGAGAAAGTCCAGTGAAGTCCGAAGGACTTCCGGAGAAGCGTGGAAAACTTCGGAAGGACTTTCCGGACGAGTGTGAGAAACTTCCGGATGAGTGCAAGAAACTTCCGGAGGAACTTCCGGAAATTACGATGGAGTTTCGTCCTGACGGGGATATGTGTAATGGCTACTCAGGACTTGTCCTGAGTAGAAGGAAACAGAGGAAAGGCTGCAAGGACAAAGTCCGAAGCAGAATAGGTCCGGAGGACCGTGGGAAAGTTCTGGAGGAACTTCCGGAAACTCGGAGGAATGGAGGATCAGATGAGTGGATGAGCGGAGGAGCGGAGGAGCGGAGCTCTGGCCTAGGGAATTCCTCCCTAGGCCTGAGATGGATAATGACCAAGTCGGAGGACTAGAACTGTTATGAGGACTTAGGGTGAAGGCTAGTGCGAGGACTAATATGTGTAATATTCAGACTGAGGAAGTACAAAGATTCTACAGAGTTTATATACTACAGAGGACTTAATGGAGAGTCAGTCAGTGCAGTCCGAAGCTATGCGAGGCTGTGGATGGAGGATGTAGAAAAGTCAAACACTAGTCTATCGGAAAATAGTAAATGAAGACGGAGATGAAGACATAGGAAAATATAGCCGGAAATGAAACGAGGTACGGAAAATGAGGAAGTCTAACTCAAGAAGGAACATACAAAGGGATAAGGCATGGAAGATAGACGCAGGTCGGATCCAGATGTCCAGAGATGAATGCATGATAGGTCCGGGTCCGGAATGCAGGATATGACACTAACTTGAGAAGGAACATACAAAGGGAAAAGGCAAGGAAGATAGACGTGGGTTGGATCTCGATGTTAGGAAGTCCGGAGACAGGTGATTACCATAAGGGGATGGGCGCTGATTTAAGGTTTGGGTTCGGACATGACAGATAGGTCGGATCCGGAGATCCGGAGATGTGGATATCAGATCTGGCGTCCGGATATCAGATGCAGAAGTACAGGGATCCGGACAGATAGAGGATTGGGTCTGGAGACATGGACAGGAGGTCCGGAGGTCCGGATGAGGCGTGGGAACATTGTCGGATGTTGGTCCGGAATGCGGGATATGACACTGGCGATCACTTGACAATTTAATCTTTAGCAGGTTTTGAACCCACACAGACAGATTTAGATTCTGTTGTATTAACTGCTCGGCTAAGACTAGTTGAATGCACTTCCAATGAACTCATTTAAAAGTGAATCCTCAAGGCACAATCTCAGCCTTGATATATTTGTATTTTTCCTCATTCCCCAGGTCATTAGGATGAAACTTGCAAGTTTGATGTGTAATCTGCTCTTCTTCTTCTTCAACAGAATCAAGACCTTGAGAAAGAATTAAATTGTTCTTATGCTGATCCTTCCAAGTTTGCATCGAGATTTTGGTCATATATCGAACTCTGTGTCAAAAATTCTCACATTCACCTAGCAAAAAAGGATGCATGAAACCAACAGCGATGTCAATCAAGCTTTAGATCATCAGTGTTTGCTTGCTATACATTCGTGTGGAAATGTGAAGGTGTGATTTCATTATTCATACAATAAAAATAAAAATGTTATTGTCAAGGTGTGTTTTTATAGAAAATAAAATTCATTGCGAGCAGGTTTCAAACCTGCACATTCCAAGAGAAACAGATTTTGACTCTGGTGATCACTTGACAATTCAATCTTTAGCAGGTTTTGAACCCACACAGACAGATTTATATTCTGTTGTATCGACTGCTTGGCTAAGACCAGTGAGATGAACTTTCAATAAACTCATTCTTTACAACTGGGTCATGAGTGAGTGACAACCGACAATGGAAGGATCACATATGATTGGACTTAAGAGGGATGTTGAAAATTAATATTAGAACTGACAAAATGCAGATAAATGTACCTTGAGTATTCACTTCTGAATGGGCACATTTGGGGTGCATCTAACTGGTCTTAGCCAAGCAGTTGATACGGCAGAATCCAAATCTGTCTGCATGGGTTCAAAACCTGCTAAAGATGAAATTGTCAAGTGATCACCAGAGTCAAAATCTGTTTCTCTTTGACTGCACAGGTTTGAAACATGGAAGTGGTTTGGCCTTAAGCGCTCCAGGTACTTCAGCTTAAGACGCCAAAACATGGATAGTTGGATGAAATCGGTGGGAATAGTCAAGATGTATGGGACCGCTTTTCCGGGACCTTGCCTGTGAATCTTAATATCTGCCCACCCTTCTCTTAATCGGCTAATTCCGATAAATTTTCCGCGATAGCTTTGAGCGAATACTGACATGTCATCTAAATGAACAATGTCATGAAGGCGAATGCGCTCCCAAAAATAAACGTGGACATGACTGGCTATCCAATGATGTTGGAAGAGCTGAGTGCCAGGATAAGGGGTAGTGGTAATGTAGGCATGAATGTCTAGAGGTGCGACATTGTGCACGTCAAATTCGTCATAAGAGCAATTCATGTTGTATCAAAAATGAGTGGTATGGGTTAATGTAATGATGGTTGTTAGAGACTCGCAACTTTTCAGAGTCTTATGAAGTGGGTAAAAGTGTGATTAAATTTCAATGTCTATCGATCGGTAGTAGGGTCTGTGCTCAGTAAGGAAATTTCCCTGACGGTGTCTAAGGACAATGTATTCCGATGTACGGATATTAAAGTGGCAATAAGGATTTGTCCCTTGTGGAGTGGCGTTTTAGGCAGGTTACGTATTCTTAAACCGCGTCCGGCAATGTTCTAACTCGCTCTTCAATATGCAAAATCCAATGATAAATTTGATAGCACATGAAGCAATCTTGATGAATGTGTTCCTTTAACCCAATGTTCCACAAGAATATAATATTATTTAAGTGAAAATAGGCATTTCTATAGTCAGTGCCAATGTGAAGAAATAAAGTGACAAGTAACTGATGTAATAGAAAATCTAAAGTATCGCGATTTGAGAAAATATCAAGAAGTTGATGGTAGTGGAACGGAGGCATGAAATATAGTGTGTAACCTAGTCTAAATCTGTATTACTATTTTCTGAACTATTTGATGATAAATTGTCTGTTGAGGAGTCCGATGTGTCAAAAGTTTTTCGGAGACGAGCAAATTCAATTGAATTTCGGGTTATGTATGGGAGTAGTCTGAAAGCAGCTATCCCTCTTCTTGAAATAGTGCCGTCAAGTTCTTTCAAAATGTAGGAACCTCCTTTAGATCTCCGAACTACTGAAAATGGACCCAAATATCGAGGCTTTGTTTTGCGGTTTAACTCTTTTTCTATTTGTGTGTTCCGTACTAGTACTAATTCCCCAGGCTTATAATGGCCTTTCTGAAGTCGTAATAGAAATCTTTTTTCAAACTGTTCCTTTGATCGGAAACGTGCCTTTCTTAAGGTTTCTGCAGCTCGGGCTAAGTCTTCAGGCCGTTTTTCTAACTGTTGAATTCTTAGGGCTAACAATTCTTCTGATGTTAAATTGCTATGAAAACCTTCTACCATGAATGTTGCCTCAGCTAAGTCAAAAGGTAAAACTGGGTGAACTCCATGAACCAAGTAAAAAGCTGAAAATCCTGTAACTCGGCTAGTCATAGTCCGATCAGCGAATAGTGCGTGAGGCAGCATGATTGGCCATTGAGTAATCTTTTTTCCACATGCTTTTACTAAGGCTTCTCGTAAAGTGAAGTGCCCTCTTTCTACTACCCCATTAGCTTGAGAGTTATATGCTGAAATTGTAACATGTGGAATGCCAAGTCTTTTCACTAGGTCGGCAAATGCTCCTTTGACTTCAGGACCATTATCTGTTGTTACTTGGCCTATTGCTCCATATCTACAATAAATATCTTCCCAAAAGAATGCACTTAATGTTTTTGCTTTGTTTGATTTTAAGGCTCGCCCTTCTACATAACGTGATAAATCATCCCTAGCTAATACTATATATTGGTAACCATGTGCAAGTGGCATTTTCATTATGTCAATATAAATCTTTACAAATAGTGTGGCAGGAGTTGAAACAGTAAGGGGAATGTGCATTTTCTTTGTTGATCGTATTTGACATTCATGACAGGACTGGACATGGTGTCGAACATCGGCTAGCAAGTAAGGCCAAAAGAAACGGTACCTGATAGTTTCCCATGTTGAGTATTCTCCATGATGCCCTAGTTCTTCATGAGCTTTATTTAGAATGATAGATCGTAATTTAGGATTGAATACTACTAAAAGAGGGGGTCGCCCCTGAGCTCGTTTATACATTCGTCCATTCTGTACAAAGAATTGGACCGTCTTTTTAATGAATCTCTTTCTAGCCGTGATAGAATCAAATAAAGGTGCTTGTAAAGTAGTTAAGAAATGAAAAATATCTTGAAGAGTGCTATCTTGACTTGTTAATCCCACAAATGAGGTGGGTATGATACTTTCTGTACTTATAATATTTGTATGATATGAAAGATAGGGGCGAAATGTGGCTTGGGATTGTCCAGAATAAAGAGCAATATCATCTAACCATGAATCATCTTCTTCTTCTATTTGTTCTCCTTCTCCAAGTCCTCTACGAGATAGTGCATCGGGTCCTTTGAACCGAGTAGCAGGAACATGGATTAGTTTAACATCAAATAATAGTATTCCTTGTATCCATCGATTCATTGCAGCGTTTGGCTGCAAATCTGGTTCATTAAGCATTCCTTTGATGTATTTGGCATCTACTTCAACCTGAAGGTTCTTTACTCCAATAAGGTGAACACGAAAAGCTCGTAAAGCGCGAAATAGTCCAAATAATTCCAATTTTGGTTGTGAATACCGTGATTCTACTTCTGTGAAAGGGATAGATCCATACCGAGCTGGTCTTCTCTTTCCATTCTCATCAATTTGGGATAAAATAATTCCTACTGACATGTAGCTGGAGTCTACTGACAGAATAACTGGAAGATCTGAACTATAGTCAATAGATCGTAAGGCAGGTGCTGAAGCAACCAATTGTTTCAATTTTTCAAAGGCTTCTTTTCGTCGCTCATCCCAAATAAAGTCAAAGTTTTGTCTCCATAATTCTGTGATGGGTTTAGCTAGTTCGGAATAGCCAGGAATCCATATTCTGACAGTTCCACATAATCCAAGAAATCCTCGTGCTTCCTTGGGAGTGGTCAAGTCTGGCCAATTTAGAATTTTGTCTACTTTTGATTGATCAGGCAGCCGTCCTTCTGGTGTGCAAGTTTGACCTAGGATCAGAACTTTTGGTAAACATAACTGAATTTTTAATGCAGAGAATGTTGCTCCTGATTCTTTGACTTGGTGCATAATGCGATGCACATCTTGAGCATGTTCCCAAATGTATTTTCGAATTCCTGAATTCTCTTTCAATGTCTCAGGGTGTCCTTCTGAATCTAAGTAGGCTGATTTTGGACCTTTGATAGGTAGGTCATCTATAAAAATGTTGGCTTTGGTAGGAATTTCATCATGAAGGATAAATGTCATGCACTTTTGGAATTCGGCTGGTGAATTTGTGAATCCAGTTGGTAGAGATGTAATTCGAAGGAGTCCCAATGGAGTCAAAAATGCGGTAAGATCTCGACTAGCAGGGTGAAGTTTGCGAGCATCAAATCCCCAGAATAAATCAAAAACTGTATAACATTGTGCACCTGCAAATGGCTCTACAAAATCATCTAAGATAGGGGGTAGTCCAGCATCTCGTATAGTGACTTTGTTTAACGGCTGTAAGTCATGAACAATACGAAGCTTCCCGTTCTTCTTAATTACACAAAACCATCGAGATCGATATGATGATTGACTTGCTTCGTATACTCCTGCACTTATTTTCAACTTAAGTACTTCTATTACCTTGTCTTTAATTCCAGGGGGTATTCGCATATTTTTATATTCCCATGGCACATGTGGTACAGTTGGAATAATGTAAGGTGAAAAATATGATTCTTTAAAGGTGCCACAATCATTATCCTCGAATGCTAGGGCATCTTCATTAAGCATCATGATATGACTAAACAATTTCTCTTCTTCCGTTGACAGGAATCCTATAGAATTAATGTTAAGGGACTTCATCCTTTCAGTTGTAACTTTAAGGGATGGCTTAAATTCAGGGGGATGAGGTGTTAAGACAGGTAGGGTGTCTAAAGGGTTACGTGGGAACTGTCGCTGGACTTGTGCTTCTTGAGGAAACACTCCTGGAACAGGCTTAATTTTCTTATCGACTCGCTTATACATTGTGTATGAAATGGCGATGTCATTTGAAATGTCAATGTCTTCTATTGGAAAGTTCGGTGGAATCCAAAGGGTGGAATCGGTGCCTATGTTATCAAATTGATCGGACATGGCCCAAATGGCATCTCCTTCTTCAAAGAATTCATATTTGTCCCTGTGTGACATTTTTTTTTTGTTAGGGGTTTAATCGGCAAATGGTCCCTAAGGGTTTTTTTTTTTTTTAAATAGGGCCGTATTTTTAATAAATTTGTTTGACTTCTGACCGCTTAATTTGTTTTGGATGTATATGGCTAAATTTGGTTGTAGTGCGAAGTCTTTCCAGATCATGTGAATTTGCTCTTTCGGCTCATGTGAATTGGACTTAGTAACTTTTCACAAAATCACACTATAGGAACCTTGAACATATCACTGGTATTGTGGCTAATATAGCCCTTCAAGGTTTATGGACACGATAACACTTGTAAGTAACTAAGTACTTGAATGGTAATCGTACAGACAAACAGTAGCAGGCATATGTGTGCGAACACGCGATCTTCACAGGGAACAAATGAATCAATACTAAGTACGAGCGAACAAACATATCAAATAAGACACTAAATAATAAGTACAAGCAAACAAACAAATTTAGGCATATAGGTGTACATAGACAGACAAACAAACGCAAACCAAATATTTGGACTTGAGGAGCTGAGGTTACCGAGACGAGGACGTATTGAGAATGTTGACAAATCTATTTGTTGAAATTAGATATTTGACAGCTGAATCCAAATAGAAACGTACCAAGCACTTTGAGAGATCCTGTAAAAGTACACATACACAGATAAACATAAACAAATGAGGGACATATGACGGCAAATGGCTTCAAGACGCATGACGACGAGGACGAAATACAAGCAAGCGCATCTCGCGAAGAGAGCAAGTCCCAAAAATTGGTGTGCTCTAGGCACTGTTAGCATAATGTTGCGCGTCCTTGAACGTGCTCGCGAAGCCAGGTTGAAATATAACAAACTCCTCACGATGCTTACGTTCGTGTAGTGCGAGGATGTTCCCAATGCTTGAAAGAGGCTTCACGCCGGTGCGCGAAAGGTCGTCGAGTAAAAGGTGTTGGAGTAGGATATAAACGACGTTCTCATCTGGTACCGTCAGCTGTAAAACGTGATCAATAATGTTAGTCGTATGTTCATAGCCATAGAAACGAAAATAGCTCGCGGCCGAGCGAAGGTAGGTAGACTCGTGTCGAGTCAAAAATGGATTGCAGAAGGGTGCCGTCTGGAGGAAGAAGGCAGAACGATTGACCCAAGCAGGAAGTGCCTTGTCGTTTTCGACGATGATGACGCATAGGTCAGCGTCGTTGCAGTCCTTGGACTGCTCTGGGGTTAGTGTGGCGTGAACAGCTGAAATAAGGTCAAGGTGGAGACGGCGAAGGTTTCGCCATTCGTAGTAGCGGTTTTCGAGGCGAGTTTGCCCTCGAACAACAGTGCCGGGGTAGTGTGAGCGATTGTAATGGTAGATGGAAGGAGGACGAGTGGCCAAGAACTTAGCTTGTTCTGGCCCGACCTCACGCTTGATGTGCGCAGCCATATCGGAGTAGATAAGGGATGCTGTCGAGTTGAGGGATTGCACTGTGGAAATACGATAAGTTCCGTTAAACGGAAGGGTGGCACGTTGTTCGCGCCCGCAATGAACACCTTTGTACGGCATACGAATGTTAGTTTCGTATTTAGGTGGGTCGGCGACCAAGGCGTTAGATGTTGGATCAAAGGACAGGTAAGAAATGAATGTAGGCATAGTAGTAAACCCAACAGCGAGGCGATCTGCTGCGATAAGGACATCACCTAGTGGGAGATGGGGGTCACACGTAGGTAGGAGGTGGTTAAAGCGCTTAGTAGTGTCGTTGCAGGAGTCCTCATTGACACTCTCAAAAGAATAGTCTGACGACGTCGTTGACGACATGTCGTCGTCGCTGAAGAGGCTGCTTCCGTCTGAGTCGACGAAAAAATCGGCCGCAGAGACTTCGTCAATGCAAGAGTTGGGTGGCACACGTAGGATATGGTAGGATGAAGAGTCGGAGGTGGTAGGTGATGAGGGGCTGCATACGTACGAAGCGATGTGAGGAAAGAGCTGGTTGGTGCCGGCGAGCGTTAGGTTGGCCGGTGGTTGTAACCCAGGGAAAGGAGTGGGCGCGCGGCTTGCCAAGGTGGGTGCAGGGAGTGGATACTGTGTGTCCAACGTAGCAGACAAATGAGTTTCTTTGTGAATCCAAGTGATATTATTAAATGAATCTGAATAAAAAGAAGAGGGCGACTCACCAGCAGCAATCAACCTACTAATCCTGGGATCCCTAACTCCAGGGCGTCCAACATCCAAGGTGGGTGTCTGAGAGTGAGAAGGAACTTGCGGGACCTGGAACGGATCAGGAGTAGATAGCTGAGGTTGTTGCAGCCGGTCGCGACCAAGGGCAGGAATGAGGGTAGCGTGAGCCGGAGAGGTGATGGTATGAGAGTGAGAAGGAACTTGCGGGACCTGGAACGGATCAGGAGTAGATGGCTGCGGTTGCTGCAGCTGACTCCCTAAAGGTTCTTGAAGTAGTATAGATTTTATTAGTGATGGCGGCAGAGGAGTGGGAAGGTGCTCACCAATGGGCACTTTCCACAGCAAGGATCCTGGACCTAAGCGGTCCGGCTCATCCTTAAGATTATTAAGTGTTCCCTCCCCAACAGTAAGGGGAGAGAGCGGCGGTTTGGCAATGCGCGGAGGAGGCGGCAGAGATACTGAAGATATTAAGTTAGTTGAATTTGGGAAAGTTAGGGACGTACCCTTCTCCTCACAGCATGCGGATGTTGGATGCTGGGCCATGGCCCGTCCTAAGTTGGAGTAGTCGCATTCGAAGGATGGAGGAGACGGCGAGGAAAGAGTGTCGAAAGGTGATATATATTTTTGATATCCCTGGACATAAGGTCCAGGGTGGCTGCGCCGTCCAAATGCGACCAAACACGGAGATTTAATCTCACGCGCGTCTTGTGGGAGGATAGGGCATCCAAGAGAGAGATTCATGCCGATAGTACTGCCCAATGTAGTTTCAAGGGCGTAAAGAAGTTGGAAGGAGTGAATGTTTTTAATTTTTTCACCGTAGTCTTGGAATTGGAAGGCATTGAGTAGGACATAGTCTGCCACGTGATTTCCCAAAAAGGAATGTGTGCCGCTGAACTTGGCGTTTTCACGCACAGCAGCTGGCTCATGAATTGATTCTATTTCGAAATATTGAGCACCTCGGCCCGCAAATTCAGGGATTCCGGTGTCCGGTTGAAAAATCAAAGTAGTAGCGCAGTCCATACTGATGAATAGGTGTTCTGGGCTGACCGGCAGATTTCTCAAAGTCTTGCTTGTTTTTATACTAACTACTGTAATAGCTATACAAATCAAATTTATGATTATTTTATTCAAAGTTCTATCTAAGTACTGTAAGGTTGTACAGAGCATGAGGAACATAAAAAGTTGCGCAACATATAAAAGTTGCGATGTGCGTGCTAACGGATTCGGTGGTGGTGGCTTGATTAGGGATGTGAAAAAGCTTGTAGTGTGGACCGGCAATGTCCGAGTGTTCGATTCTTGAGAAAAACAACACGTGATTTCTTCGCGTGGTGTAATCATTAATTCTAAGTCCGGTGCTCCTTTTGAAACCGGATTAGGAAACATTAGATACGTGCCGTCGGCTCGCTCAATCAGGCCCACTCGGTTCTCAGATTGCCAAGATCGTCCTAATAATAGGTCAAAAGGTGCGTTCTCATTTAGTAATACTGTTCCTAGGGTTTTAATACTTCCGATTTCGATTGGAACACTTCTAATAATCCCTTGAAGAGTTCCAATGCCGCCGTTCGCATCTCTAAGACTTGTCCGGTGTTCCATGTCCGCCGGTAAACCTAATCCTTGCTTGTATATTGACGTATTTAGAATATTTATTTCACTACCTGTATCATAGATAGCTTTAACCTTATGTCCATTTATTTCGGTGTTAATATAAATCAGTTCTCCACGTGTTTTGGACTTCTGATCTTGCGACAGGAAAGTTTCCACAATGGGCCGGTCTTTTCCGGATTTAGGTTTGATCAAATCAATTAAACTTCCGGACAATTCTTTTGATGCAGCCAGGATTTCACGCGCTGATAGCTGAATTTGGCTATTTAGAATCTGTTCTAATAATAATTTCGGATCTATTTTTGCCGATAGTTCGGATATCCTAGGTACGTGTTTCGGTTCTTCCCGGTTTAGCGTGGGAACTGATATGTTGGGCTTTGCGTCCATATTTCTTATAACACTCTGTAGCGTCCCCTTTTCCCTATCTTCTTTCTTCTCTCTTGCCTTTACCGCTGGCGCTGGGGCGTCTTCCATAATTTGGTCATCATCTCTATCATCATAGCGTGGCCGTTGCGCACTTACAGGCTTTGGGCGTGCCTCCTCGCGTCCTCTTTTTTCAACTTCTGGATGTTTTGACGTGGCTGGCACATAGCGCCGCTCGACGTTTTCCTTAATTGGTAAGTTGTTTCTCACTTCAGTTTCTAACTTTTTGACTTCGGCAGGGTTAAATTCTCTTTGTATTGGGGCGCCAGGACCGGGGCGCACTCTGGCCGGTCCATCTATTCTTATAATGTCTTTATTGTAAGTCGCCTGTTTACTCTCGATCTTGTTTTCCGGGGCACTGTCCTCTTCTACTAATTCTTCTATCCGACTAGACTCATTAATGTTACGTCCACTGCCAACTCTTACGTTGTCCTGCGGAATAACCTGTACATTTGGCCCTGTTGCTCGTTGAGCACTTAAAGGTATGTTTTCTTTATTCTTTCGATCTTCAACACGCTGACGCTGTTCTTTTTTCAGTGTCTCCCTAAAATCTTTTGCCGATGGTGGATATATTCCATCGAAAACTGCTCGACGTTTGCCGGATTTGTCCCTTAATGTCCTTTCTGCCGGGTAAGCCACATATTCTATTTCTTCGTCACTTATATCTGACCCACTCATTACTGCAGGTATAAAATAGACTTCATGATCTGAGGAATCCCACTCACTATCTGTAACTAATTGTACAAAGTGAGTACTTGCTGTTTGCTGACTCGCGAGCCGTTTCTGAGCCATTATAGAGGTTTCATTTTCTTGTCTCCATAGTTCTTGGCCTCCTGGTAGTGTTAGTCTACCTGTAGCGTCTTTTTGTAGTAGTCCTTTATCTAATAATGCATTTATCTCTGGGCACCATGAAAGTCTGTGACTGCCTCCGCATCCATAATAATTATACTTAGGGGGCCCTAATTGAATATTATTCGGGTAAGTTGGAGTGAATGGCGCTTCTGGTGCTCTATTTCTAGGGGCTGCACTGACATAATTTTCACGCTTCTTCTGAGGCTTTGGGAATACTTCTCCTATAGTAGAGTCTATCTTTAGGGCTTGAAAGTACAGCAGTGTGTAATTTGGATCATCAATTGAAAGATCGCTTAAACGCTTCACCAAATCATTTATCTGATCTGGATCCTTTGACTTGGACTTTTTCTTCCCTTTCTTTACATGTGAATATCTTTTCCGCTCTACTTCTTCTTCTGAACTGCTATCTGTATCTAGATCCTTGACTTTGGATTTCTTTACTCGTGATTTCTGCTTCTTCTTACTATAGTAGTCACTTGAATCTTCATCATCTGAACTATCCACAAATTTCACTTTACGCTTGACTGATCTAGACCTTGTCTTAGTAAGCTTTTTGGATTTTAACTTACGCCTCGCCTTATAATCATCTTCAGATTCAGAATCACTGTCACTTTCTGAAGAGCTGTCTGAAGAGTCAGATGTATCAGTCTCGCCTTCTGAAATTTCAGAATCTGAATAGGCAAGATTTGTCTCAAATCGATCTCTTTGTAAACAAGCTTCTACTGCTGCTACAATCTCTGTTGGTGAATAGGGGACAGTGCGATCACGTAATGGGTCTCTGGCAATAAGTCTACCTTCCACTCTGTTTCGCAGATCTCTGTGTATGCCCTTCCATAAATATGTAGCATGATCATCTCTGCTAATTTTACTGTGTGTTTTGAGCCATCCACCGATAATGGTGAATTTACGCATATAACGCTTCCATTCTGATAGTGTCCTGATCGGTTTCTTATTCTGAGTGAGAACAAATCTCACCAAGTCTTTTGGTTTGTATCGCTTTGTATCACGGTCCGCATCAAAATTATTCAATAGATCGGCTTTGAGTTGTGTCCAGTTATGATTGCTGAAACTTTCTAAGACCTCGATTAGGTCAGCGACATGAGTTGAACAGTATTGGGTAACATTTTCACACAGGTCTATTTGGGAAGTCACATGATATTGCTGACAAAGCTTCTCATATTGCTTGATAAATTTCTTGACTTGTGTAAATTCACCCTTGAATTTAGGTGGTGCATGTTTTGTACCGGGATAAGGGAGTATTAATGGTCCTGGGGGCATGGTAGAACCTGAAGTAGTTGCAGTTGTAGTGGTCATGGTTGATACTGATGTTTATGGTAGTACTGTAGTGAATATTGGAATAATGGTCAAGTGGTTTTGATGGGTGGAAGACACTGTATTGTGAATTCTGCAGTTCAATTCCTGCCAAGTGCTAATTATGAAACAGTCAAAGAAAGGTGATTAGATGGACAAAATTTCCCCCCTCGCGGTGGGCTCCAATTATGTCTTACTAGGATGTGATTGGCAATAAAATCACCAGTTCTCACTATCCTCCACGGTCAACGGTTCAGACAAATACCAACGGTTGATAACGTGGTCGTTCGTGGGAGGAGGCGTAAATAGCAGAGTCGTTCTAAACAAACTTCTATTGACTTTAGGTGTGTTGAGACAGTGACCGTTAACTGGCTTGATGCAGTGCTTAGGTACTATGAAAGAGTTGTTAGTCCGTTTAACTGGCGCGATGCAGTGCTTAGGATGCTGCTAAAGATGATGAAGATCGTAAGTGGTGTAGCTGAATCGATAACTGGCTTGATGCAGTACTATGATGCTATTAGAAGATGAATGCAAAAGTATGCAATACAAAGATGAAGATATGGTTCACAACGGTACCCAATGAATCAGAGTATTATCTCGTAAACACTCCCTATTCTCAAAAATTAGAGGAGATCAAACTAAGCCTCTAACACAATCGAATCAACCGAAATACGTGACTTCGAAACTAACTTCTCTGCTGCTCAGGCACTCACGATGAGTATGACGCAGAATCAGAACAGAGTACACCTTCTGGATGTAGTCTTAAAGCAGCCAAGCTCTTAATATTGTTGACTAACGTGCTAGTCCTATTTGTCGTCCTCCTAATCGTTAAAAATACGTAAATTCTCCCCACAGAAAAGGTATCCTGTGTTGTAAAGAGAATGTGACGAAACTACAACTAGACGACTGATAACCGTGTACCAGCTAGTGTAATTCAAGGATTGGCTCAAGGTAGGCCTCAGAAAATCAGTATGTTGTGGGAAAAGATGACAAAAGAATGGAGGGAATAAACTTAATATTCACTCAGATGTTCACACAAATATAGGGTGAGAAATTCAGGAAGATACTCAAATCCTCCTCCCTCTCTCTTAAAGGGGGATTGTCTGTCCTTTCAAAGGAAGTTTGATTTCAAAAGGGAGATTGTCATTCTTCAGAGGGGAAATTGAGCCCCTTATATACTATTCTAAATGCGGCTGTGTAACTATCTAAATAAGGAAATATGACTCATCCTGACTCATACTGAGTCATAATGAAGATGACTCATAGTGACTCAGACAAGAAAATGACTCATAATGACTCAAACTGAGTCATTGTAGAGATGTCTCATGATAACTTGTTCACTTCTCAAATATTCTCATCTATCAACTTTCTCCATTCAAATTCCTGACTAATCCATCTCATCTTACTAATCCATTTCATCTGACTAAGCCCTTAGTCACCCATGAACTGTTGATACGTTGAAATGTTGATTTGAATATGTTTCAGAACATACAAAAGAAATGTGAAGAATGTGTGAGAAAATTAGGATGTTGTGAGAAAAAATGCTGAGTAACGTGTTATGGTATGTTTGGAACTTATCTTTGAATAGGATAAGTATTAATTGAATTATTATGTAGTGTTACGGGTTTGTTATGTCTGAAAAACTGCTCAAATCCGGTCATAATGTGTTATAGAAAATTCTTAATAACTTTGTAGAGTACAGTAGAGGATATCAAAGCTCTAAAGTAGCCATGACCATGCACAAAACAAGTTTGGTGCGTGTCAACGCCAATAATACGATTTTTATTTTATGAAATCACACCACCAGCAAGATGGTGCTCTCAGAAAAGCAC